GACCTGTCAATTAGTTAAAATGAGGGCTCTGGATAAGTTGTTTTCGCTTCAGCTTTGCCATCTTTAGTCTCGTTGCCAGATGTGTTCATATCTGGTTTTGTTGCCACCTAAATCTCCCATCCCTTGGGACTATCAAACAGGAAATCTTTGAAAGGCTTAAACTTTAAAATTGATGTTCTTCCCGAGCCCCCCACCCCCGGGGGAAAATCTCCTTGTCTGTCTTTCAGATGTGTCAATAACAAAAGTAGCTATGACAGAGCCTACACTCTCAAAAAATGTCTCACCATCAAAATGGGTTTCTTGTTAGTATGTAAAAGGGATCAGTGTGTCCTTAGAAAAAGCACTTGTCAGCACTCCCCTACAAGGAATCTTGAGCGGTTGGTTTTTACCTCCCCTTCAGGATACAGATGCACTCTTATGCATTTACAGCCCCCTTGGCAAAACGCAGACTGTCCCATGGCTTGAGTTGCCTTTCTGCATAATGTGACATAAAACTAAAACGACGTAACAGCTGTGTCCAAATGTGGGTGATGCAATAATTTGGGCCGTAACTGAATAAAGACGGGCAAATTAAATTCTTAACACCATTTGGGAAAATTAACAACCTCTGACGGGCTAAACAGCCTAGCATGAGTATAGTTAAGATTGCATATATCCTACTAATGAGCCTCTGCACTTTTTTTAATTACCAAACAACAGTTCTGAATTTTATTTACCATTCCACCAATTTTTTTTCTATATACCCAAATTCAAACATTGGAAGATGGTGGTTATGGAAGTTGAAGAAGCCCTAGGACCATCACACTGTGGATGTAGACCAAAGAGTTTCTGATTCTGGTTTCAGAGTTTTAATTGAAGGGAATGAAAAATACAACTTGCCACTTCACAAATTGTTGTTGACTTGAAATATCAGTTCTGGAGTGATCTTGGTTTTGGTTTCCTCAGGCCTTGCCACCCCCCCACCCCCCGGTTTGCTGCATTTCATGTCATACAAATTCCTCAGGAATACAAATTCCTCAAGGCTTGGGTCCACCAGTGTTGGCTTCTGACAATTCTATTACAATAATGTTGTTTCCCTTCCCAAGCAAACAGGAGTATTTGTTCACTGAAGAAAATTCAGACAGCTGGCACTAGATGATTTCCAGTTAATCCGCTTTTTGGCTCTCTCTCCTTACAAATCTTGAAGTCCAGCTCGACAGCAAGACATATTCAAAAATAAATTATCTTTAAGCACACCTGAACACGGGGTAGCTGGAGTTCCTCCAGTTTAAGAATATTTGTCGCCTTTTGTTGTGTGCAGGCCTTGAACAGTACAAAGGTAACCACAGGTAACTAATTTTAATAGTGCCAGGAACACAAAACCTACAAAAAAATTCTAACTGGAGGAGCAGGTTCAATGCTATTTTTGTGCAGACCTTTTGCCTCTTTTTAAAGTTTGGTACTGGTTGGAAATAACATTTTTGGAGCACAAAACCAAGAAAAAAAATTACATTTCATTTAAACACCAGTATGATCACAGAACAACAATATTCTCCACATCCAGTTTTCCTTGAAGGATTCATGGAGCTGCTTTAAGTGGGTATGATCACCTTGATAGGCAAATCCTTCATCATTATCTGCATATGTCATCTTAAAGTGAATAAATTACATTATTTCCTGGTTCAGTGTGTGTGCATACAGTAACTTTCATGAGGATGTGTAAAATATGCAACCAATAAACTTTCTGACATTTGTACCATGATCTATGCTTCAGTTTCCAATAACTGACTAGTCCAATACAGGGTTATGATGATCCAGAGGCTAGACTGCCACACCGAGGCAAGGCGGGATACACACTGGATAGAATCCAAGCCTATCGCAGGCCATACCAATTCTCTCACAAATGCATATGAGGGCCAGTGTAGAGTTGTTGTTTAACCACAGCATGTTTTTGCACATTAGGAGGAGCACCCGAGAAAACCCATGAGACCAAGGAGAGAGCATACAAACGCAATACAAAAAGCAACCCAGGCTGAAATCAAATCCAGCACAAAAAGATGTAAGGTCCCAATCCTAACTTCCATGTTTGCCTGTGCATAGCTATTTATGATAAGCTTTCTTATTTTACAAGAGATGAATCACCCACTTCTCCATTATTAGAAAATTGCTTATTCCTGGTAAGGATTTGAGGAATCCAGAACCTATTCCTGGAAACACAGAGAGCAATGTTATGCAGAAAATACAATTCTACAGGATGTATGCATAAACCCTGCAAGATACTGGGGAAATATCTTTCTGGGTTTCTGCAAGCATCCTGCCATATTCTAAAAGAAATGTCTTTCTATTGTTTCTGCTAAATAAGTGCTGCAGCATGTTACCCTTCCAAGCAGTCCTGGATTAATTGTAATTATTTTTTATATATTAGCCTTAGTGTTTGTAGGCACACAGCCTACATCTCCTAAACTTATAATTCACTCCCACGAAGCCCACTTTATTTGCTTAGTTCCATGCAGCGAGTTGTGCCAATTAGCCTAAAGGCAAAACACAGCTGCATCAGAGATTAAATGGCAGTCAGATCAGATTGCAGCAGTCAGGTGTTACCCATGTGTTTTTTTTCCCCTCTATGTGCGGTCTTAATGGACAACTCAAAGCTAATTTGCATTCCTTTTCAATGTGGCTTCCGTCTTGCTTAGTTTTGTTTTCGCTCATGTTCTGACAGTGCTGTATACTTGGTATAGTCTCCCCCATGCTTTTATAGTAGCTAACCTATCTAGACTTGGTGGAAATTTAGACACAAGCAATTAGCATTAGAACCCAGAGTGAATTTTGTATGCCTAGCAAAAATATATTAAAAAAAAAAAATCTGCTGTACACGGAAAATAGTGTTCACCAAATAGTAAAAGGAAATTTCTAATTTGGTGTTCTTTCAAATCATTGAATGGTTACACTGCCTTTTATCTATTAAATGCAAAGCATGATTCAATTCCTACTTTCACTGTAGAGTATCATGAGGTTATCGGAGAGAACGGCACTCTCAGGACAAGTTGTGCACAGCACATTTAAACATGTAAGCAGACCAATCCATTGTTCAGAATGGTGGTTAGAATTAAGTATGTGTATATAAGGGTGATGTACTGCATACACATTTAACTACTTAGCTTTTAAGAAACCTTGATCTCATGGTCTCACACAAACTTGTAAAGATAACATTACTCTCCCTACCATATAAATACAGCCCATGAAATGGAAGTTACTGGAATTTCCTCTCAAACCTATTCCATACTGGTCACTTTCATTTTTTAAATATTATGGGGGGTTGTACTGAACCTTACACTCCTGAATTGTTTAAAATGAGAGAATTCCACCCTGTTCAATTATCACCGAAAGCAAAGACAAGCGCCCAAAACGTGAAGGCTTACTCGAGTTGTTTTACAGAGATAAAGAGCCCAATTGAGTTGTGAAGGGCAGCAGAGAGCAAAAGTGTTTTTCTTTACCTGGGCTGCAGTTTGTGGAGCACACTGATAAGAATTCCACCAACACCACAGCCATTTTTTGATGGAAGTAAGGACAGATGTTTTTTTTTTCCCATTTTAAATGAAACATTTGAAGTCTTGGCTGTCAAACACATGGCTTAACTCTAGTGATTGATGGGTAAGGAGAACCCGAGGAGAAATTCTGAAATTGCTTAAACTAAAAAAAAATATATATGTACATTTGCAATCTCATTATAGAAAACTATCATTGATAATATTTTGTACAATATACAGTACACCCTGTTTACTAGGGGGGATTAATTCCATTTATAACCTGTAACAGTTTAACAGCATAAACAGTGTTACTAACTGAGCTTTATTAGTAGTGGTCCTATACTTTTAGCTTAAGTGTTGCAAAAAATTGATTTACAGTATACTGTATATCAGTGTAGGGATGCAAGGGGTCACAGCAGTCTAGTGATGTTTTGAGAAGGTAACAGCCATTTCCTGAGAACACTGAAGGAGCCACACACAAGGTCCATTCCCCACAGCATCCCAGATCCCAGCAGTGTTATAGCAAGTCAGATTTCTATACCAGTCTATAAGTATGAATGTTTACAACACTATTAATAACATGTTAGATAGAAAGCGGTTCAAAGCATTCTGATGTTGGTGCACATCGGTAAATATTGTTCATTACTAGCCCCAGCCATGATGATGAAGAGTAGAAGCTTCATGAAATGCAGGCCAGATTACACAAGCCAACATTTATCCATAACACTGGAGATAACAGCCCTATTCTTTACAGCAGTACCGTGTGATCTTTAATGGCCAAATTTGAGTTCAGCTTATCTCATCTAAAGAATGGTGTCACCTACAGCACAGTGTCTCCAGTAAACATGCTAGATGATTGGCTTGTTAATTCCAGTCCATTCTCCCCTATTCCACCAATACCATTTACAGTCATGTGTACCTCAGAAGTCTACTATCCCAGCTTCTGACATTACTAACATGTTTAGTAAAAAAAAGTTATGTTTTACTGTATATGTAAAAAAGTCATACTGTAAATGTTTAACTAACAAATCCATATGTAATAACTTGTTTAAGATGTGACAAAGCCAGAAGGACAGAAAAGGGTGCATTACGTCTGGACTAGGCTGAAGGACTTTTTTAGAAGGATTGGAGTCTCTTGCCTGCGTGTCTGCCCTGCGATGGACTGCCTTCCAATACAAGGTGTTCCCTTCCTTGTGCCTGCTGCTTGTTAAGATAGACTCCAGCACCCCCTGACCCTGAAGAGGAAGAAATGGTAAGGAAATGGATGGATGGGGTGCGTCTCATTAAAAACTCCCCCTTATTTGCTCTGGTGACTTTTAAAGGGAAACAATATTACACATAATCATAATCTTCCCCACAAAGAAAAGCGTATTTACGGTGTACTATATATAGCACATTTTTTGTGTATATAGATCATTTATAAAGCATAACTACTGGTAAAAGTATTATGATATTAAGTTGCTCAGTGGTGTGAATAACTGAAATCATTAGAAGTAACTGGAAAAACAGACTAGCAGCTGATGGGTTACCGATTCCCAAACTACTGTATATCTTTGGTCCCTGTCTTGTCTTCCATCCTAGCTCTGTAGTTTCGTTTTTGTACATACTGTAGTATAGAGGAGTGAAATTTAGTTGTAATTGTATGCACCCTACAAACAAAGTCCTATTCACACATTTAAATGTTTCTTTTCTCTTCCCTGTGATTAACTGCCTTTATAGTAAATCCTGTGGGACATGGTTACTGCTAGTAACCATTCAGAGTATTTTATTTCTGTTAAATCAAACACTACTGGCAAGGCCGCATAAAAGTGAGTGTCCCCATCACATATTGGCATGTTTGCAACTCCTAAGTCAGTTTGTTTTTTTGTTTTTTTTGTTCAATGTAATGTTAAAATTTAACCTTCTAACCCCACACACTTGCGCACACTCTCTCTTAATCCAAGATGTATTGAAGTACAGCTGTGGTTGGCATGTCCTTTGTGTAGTTCTGTAGAGTTTATTCAATTCCATCTCACTAAAAGGTAAACTTCGTACTGAATAACTCAATATTTGTTTGGCAAATGGTAGTCATCACAAATGCTTTCATTTTTTAAGCCAATAAGACTAAAAAAAAAACTATATCTATTTGAGTTTTACAATTGAAAGCAATGTTAATAGATCGATTCCTAGTCTCGTGCAAGAGCTACATGTATCTAAAGTCTAAATTGCATCCGTGAAAAAAGGATGCAGTAGTATTTTTTTTTAAGAAAAGTGATCTCTTAATGTGATCTCAGAGCTGATGTTTTGAAGGAATGCGTTTTATTATAAGATAAGATCACTTTATTGGCCATATATAATTTCTTGTTAGGATTTTTTTTTCACAAATCCCAACTTGCTCTTCATGAGACACACGGACAGGGAGAGAAGCTTGGTGTCGGAGTGCAGGGTCAGCCGTTTATACAGCACCCCTGGAGCAGCTGGGGTTAAGGGCCTTGCTCAAGGGCCGAACAGCGTAGGATTCAAACGTAGGATCTGGCAGCCACGGGATATAAACCAACAACATACCAGCCACAGGCGCAAATCCCTAGCCACAGAGCCACCGCACTGCCCCATGATAATCTTGATTCTCATATGACCACATAAAAGATGAAGTACTCATTGTTTCTATTCTTTGTGACTTTTCAATTTGTTGTACTGATTTCAGGCTCCCATAAGCCTGAAACCTAGTCCTAGTGAATTATTTTTAGACAATTCGTACAAAGGGTGAGTGTTTTGAGAGTACCTTAAAAATCTAGTATAGAATTTAACTCTGTAGCTTAGTATACTGTACAGTATGTTTAAAGGCAGCCATATGTATTAAATTCTGTCCTCTTGTTTATCTCATTTACAGAATGAGTATTTCAATGTATAGCAATTTGACTCCTTATGAACAGTTTATGGGGAAAATATTACTGTACAGGGAAGTCAGTTAATGGAATAATCTAATGTTCCAGTGTTGAGATTCTGCACGAATCCACATCATGTCAAAAACAACAAAATACAATACTTCTTGAAACTATCTACCAAGGTTTCTGAAGCTGGTCCCCTAGGAATGATTAATAGATAAACATATGAGATTTGTGTTTTAATCAGGAATTTACTCAAAATAAAATGGGCAAGATGTGTAAAATCGTACATATCAAGGGTGCTATACAGTATGTTCTGAAGTGCCCTCAGTATTGTTCATATTGTAAAAGCAGAGCTTCCCCAACAATTTTGATACGTTTGCACCTGTGGGCAATATGAATATTCTTGTTTGCAATCTTTCCTTACACTCTGTGTTCTGAAACAAGCTGATATATTGTAGACGGACAAGGCTGAAAAATCCTGCCCTACAGAGGTTAAAAAGACCTTCCCAAATAGTATGCTTTGGATATAAAATACATCTCAAAATTAGCAAAAGTGTTTTCCTGGGAATCAGGAATCTATTTCTAATAATCATCATATTTCCTGGAACAGATTGACCTCAGAGAACGCTAGGACCACAACCATCTTTTGTAGGTTCATGGGTAGTTAGGGCTCCCTATACAATGTGTGTAGTACAGGGAGATTGAAATATCCATACCATGTGAAAAAGAACATTATTTTTCAGATTACAGTAACGCTATATCTGAACGTAGTCTTATCTCCAAAATAATATCTTCAGGGAGGCTACACAGTCACTCTGTGCTATAAAAGGATTTGTAACAATTTTATAACTTTCATAACATTTTCTAAGACTCATAGGTAAAATGTGTCATAGTTATCTTTAAGCTCAGCCCAAATATTAACCCCAGCACATGCTTTGACATATTACTAAATTATTATTAATATAAATAGTCTTTTAGAGCACTGTTCTGAAATGCTTCTGAGGGCTATTATAACATTGTATAGTATGTAACCTTTAAGAAATTCATATGCTGGCCGCGTAAACCCACATTTAAATGAACAGTGCCCAATATTCTTTTAATGCCGCACATGAGAAAATATCCAGCAGCTGGTGTTGGCTTATATAAGAGCTTGCAGCTTAAAATATCTGAGATGGATCAGTCTGCCATCAGTGGACATCCTGTGTTTTTCTGAACTGCACGGTTAACAAACTTGGACTCCATGTGAAATTACCTGAATAACCTATGAGTTACTGTACATTTCTAATGTTTAAGCTGACATACAGTACATAACTGCCACCAGAGTGTTAGAAACTGCACATTAGGAACATACTGTAATTGTGTTCTATGAGGTGTGCAACGTTTAAAAATGTGTTCCTTCACCATCCAATAAATTCTCAAATCATGGCCAAATCAATCATGAAGCCGACATCCCTTTACAGCATTGAATGTCACGGGCCGGCCTTGATGAGAAACACTTTAAGGCTTTCTGATTTTTAAAATGACATAGGGATGGCCAGAGCAATGAACAGGAGTTACTTTGTGCAATGCTGCACTACTATACCAGCTTCCCAATGTATCTGGTCGTGAAGATAGAATCCTTGGGACAGCAGTATTGATTCGGACACTTTTATGTGTTCATGTAAAGAAGACATTAAAGCCCCACCTGATGTGAAGTGTTGATAAATAATGCAACAAAGTGCAGACATGTTACAGCCATTCATATAAATCTCTTGCATCTTTGCTGTATCTCCCAAGCTGAAATCAAAATACCTCAGCCTCCCAAGTGTCGGGAGGTCTTCTGCAGGGAGGGCAGATTAAATCCAAAAGCCAACATTGGTGGACTAAGATCACAGGTTAGTGTTACTTGACAAGCACTACCAAGGCTGGGTAGCTGAAATGTCAGTAGGGACATCTCTGGCTCACAGTGCAATGTACTGTATGTCCTCAGTGGCTAGGTGTTTGAAGTGTTACGACAGGGTAGTATAGTACATATAAATATATTTTCCCACTGTGGGGACTGTGGAAAGGGAGATGAGGGTAGCCTCACAAAGTGTGCGTGTTGAAGTAAAAGTACAGTAAAAATATACAGTATTTGTATTTATATACTGTATATATATTTCTTTACCAAATTGTCTTCTTCCGGCAGGATTGTCTATAGATCATTGAGGATAACAGTGAAGTCTGTCATGCTTGCCAAGGTACATATCCTGTGACTGACAGATCACTTAGCTGGAGAATAGCCAACATTTTAGCCAGTGTACTGTATGTGTTGAAAAGCATGCTTTGACGCCCCACCACTTGCTCTTTTAACTTCATTTATTCCTCCAGAGCTCCACAAACCAGAAGCTGAATCATGCAAGATACAAAGCTCTTATTGCAGTCACTCTTTTCTGGGAGAGGGGATTTAGGTTACAACCCACTTTTTGAAACTTCCTGAGCCTTTTTGAATTCGCAGCTGTGTTTGTGTGCTATAGGATGATCTGTGACAATGTAAGGAAATCTTCAGCTAATGAGTTAAGTTTGTCTGTTACTTGGCTCATGTAGGCTTGACTCATTTAGCAGTGTAGACACAGCACATCCTCTGGCATTGTCCACTCAGTGATTTAAATTCAAAGCTTAAAATTCTGTACTCAGTCCTTAGCAATAGGACTCATCAGAGAAGTATGACTATCATGATTCTACTGTTACCAGTGGAATCTTCACAGGGATATACAGTACTTAAAACTAAAAATCTTAATTTATACAATATAAACTGTTATACTGTATATACAGATACAGTATACAATATGTAATGTGTACAGTACATGTTATATATTTTATTTGAATAACTATTGTAATCACCAATTACTTATTCAAGGCTACACGGACAAATAAATCAGGTTTTCTATCATATCAGTTTATGCCAATGTATCTACTCAATTTGTAATCAAAATACATGTTTTTTTATCATTGTGTGAGTATTTATTAGGTAGTAAACATGTGATTGATATTTTAACATTGTCTGGTTTGCAGATAGGCACTCAGTTTTCAAGCAGTCAATTTTTCACATCACCTACCTCATCTTTCTGCCACTAGACTAATGGTTTGATTAATGAAACACATTTTGCATTTATTAACATCAGTGCAAGCAAAGGCTGCAGTCCTGCATACTCTGCTTTCATGGGAACTATTTTAATTGCAGTGCATCATCAGCTAATTGTGTATATTGGTATACTGGATATCGATTGGATTGATTCTTTACATGCATTTCATTTATTTAAAGAATATTGAAAACTATTACAGGGTTGGTTTTTAATTACTTCTGGGGAAAAGACAGTTTTACTGTGTATGGACATTAAATACCACTATTCATTTCATTAAAGGTGTAGTGCTACATTTACACTAATTTATTTCAGATTACAGGCAGTTTTAAAATTCTGTCTGTAAACGTTCCTAGTGAGCAATGAGCCATGTGGCCACATTCTCTGCAGTGAATTATGGTGGTCACTGACCTAAGCTTCCATCAAAGTGTTTAATTTGCCAACAGGAGTAAAATTGAGCAGCACTACACTATGGTAAGAATGTGCCCTCCACTCTTGCAAAACATAAACGGGAGGTCAACATGAGAAATACAGTAACGGTTTTAATTTGATCTGATCGCCACCTTGTGGGCAGAAGAAAAGAACTGGTACATTGCTGCATTGCTTTTTTTTCTGGGATAAAGAACTGCAAAAGTGCCTTTAATTTAAATAAACCCATATTTGATCCTTCAGGGCATTTGGGGTTTTTGGATGCTTTGAATATGTTTTGTTTTATTGTAAAAACATACACATAATACTGAATATGCTGTATTCAACCAGTTCTTGAAATTGTTCAGCTGCTGATTAAAAGAACCACTAAGTTTGCTACATTATCTATCTTGCATGCAAGACTGGGGCCGCTGTCCTGCAGTTTCCTTTTTTTTCCCCCCAATTAAGCATCTACAGTAAATAATTAATTGACCTCAGGGAAGTGTTAGGAAAAAATACACTCTTCTACTAAATTAGGACTGAATTCTGGCACCTCTGATCCATGTGAAATTATTAAATCATTTACTTTTTGACCTGTCATTGCTGAAATTCTTTTTCGCCCAAACCAATCAATCCAAATCAGCCTTTTTAAAAACCCAGTCACACCTCACTTCTCCATCTTTCTTGTGTTTACTTACAAAAGTAAGTGACAGACATTGATGCACTTCATATGAATGGAAAATGTGAATGTGAACTACAGTGCAGGTGATTCTTTAAATGTCATTTGATAACACTTAAGTTGAGTAAAAGATTTTTCATGATTTTATTTAATATACGGTATGATAAGGAACATTACTACCAGCCTTCCCTTGTATAGTTATGATAAGTATTTGTTAACCCAATTTTATGTATCTGTATGCATTTTAGCATTTCAGCAGGCTGCCATTGTCATCCAGATGGGGGTTACACAATGGTGGTGGAAGAGGGGAGTCCCCATTGTCTGTAAAGCGATTTGAGTGGAGTATCAAGAGAAAACAAGAGATACTGTACAATATTAAAAGGAATAAACTAATTAGCCTCTTATGGTACTTTCCTAGCCAATGCTGAACATCTAAGTATTGTCAGGTGAACTAGGATAGGTCAAGTTGGAGTGTATTTTAGACAGAAATTTGGAAGCCTATTTTTGCATAATGGGCATGAATTTTTGGAGGAAAGTAACTACAGTATAGTGTAGAGCCAATTGATTCATATGGAGAATTTTTCTTTTAAGAAGCTTCTCTCATTTATAGTTATTCCTACATTAACAGTCCCTAAGAGAACATAAATGGTTTGTGTTTAAAGCTGGTGCTGTTTATTCCAGCAATTACATTTATTCATTGATATGCAAAGACAGTAGAAGCAGCCATAGTACTTCTCTCTCAGAGGGGTCAGCTGCCTGGTAGCTCTGGGGAAAACGAGATAGTGTTGTTCACATGTTTCACACATCACAGGCTGCCAGTTCCTGCACACAACCTCCTATACTGTAAATGAATTGCTCTAAGATAGTCATTCAGTATATCCACATAGTCCTCTTAAGTAGATAACATTCCTGTTAAGTGCAATATCTGACAAATGCAGGCTTTTGTATTGTTTGGACATACAGTATACAAATTCCTTGCTTTTCAGCTGAACTTTATATCTTAAGTATTTGCCTTGAAAAAACCTTGAAAAGCTATTTGGGACTAGTGGTTATCATTAAGACTATACAGTACCGGGGCTTTTCAGAGATCACCTACCCCCTGCATTGTTTCAGTGACAATGTGCCTGTAATTTAAATAGACAAACCTATGCAGAACAAAGAATTCTATAAATGTCATCAAAAGATTGATAATTAACTCTCACCTGTGTATGTACAACTGTTACCTATTAAAAGTTAAGTTTTTTTTTATCTTTAGGTGCAACGGTCTATGTATGCATTAAGCTAAGGTTAGACATGAAAGAGCCCTATTTGCTAAGGTTCTTGGTGATGCACCTAAAGAAAAGTATTTCTGAAATCATGTAGTGGGAGCAAATAACCGCTTAAAAATCTAAATGGAAAAAAATGGTTAGCCTACGCAATAGAAGAGCTCAGCTGGAATAAAAATGAGGAGACAGGTGTCCTGAGGCTCGGTATTGAGGAACCCTACTGTGACTATTCCAGGACTTACTTCTTTACAGCGACATCGGGAAATGTAAACGGAGTATAGTACATGCCTCAAACTACATCTTTATAAAAAGCTATGTCAAAAACACAAGCACCCAGAAAGCTCATTTCTGCTTAAAAAGTCAACAGTATAGTGAAAAGTGTGTGCAGCACCAGATAACGGCTATGAAGAATCTGTGAAAGCAGGAGAGGAGAGCAGTTAATATTTAATCCCTCTGAAGCAGAATTGGACTATACATTAAATGCTGTTGGAAAGCTTGGGGTGATGGAATTCATGAGGTATTTTATTATCCCCACTCCCCCCCAAACACACACACTGGTTCTGTTGATTGGTTTTATAAACTAATCAATATCCAAAGGCCCTGAGCTTTTGCTAAGCAGAAAGGAATGATTTTTGTTACACTGCAAAAAGATCCTTTTAAAAGATGCTTGTTGACCTTCCAATATGCAGGGAAATATTAGCAAGGCTACAATATTACTCCTACCACTGTCCGCATACACTCCTCTCGGCTCATTCCCTCTGAGCTTATTTCATGCCAACAGTCCCCAAACTGATGGTCCGGAGAGTGCTTGGGGTCCTCTTAGACAGTTCAGTGAGGACCCCAAAAAGCTTGGTAGTATATAGCCTCAGAACATCCAATTCAAATCAACACTCAATCAGTTTTGCTCCCATTTTCATAAATGTCTATTGCATTTACTCAGGTTGTCTCATGTCATTCCACTGTGAATATATTTTCATTCACATTACAATTATTTGATTGCAACTCACAGATCAAAGGCATTGGGGCCCATTGGTTTCATCCAACTGGTCTATACACTTAATGAAAAGAGTTAGGAGATTGGCTTTAAAGCTATAGCTTTAGATAGCCTTTTCATGCCTTACAACAGATTATGAATGGAGTTACATCCTGCACTAGCAACATGTTCTACCTGCCTCTCTTCCAGTTCTCATATTTCTAATTGCAAAAGTGTGCTTTTACTGAGTTACCATTGATACACCAGAATTGTTGGATAAACTGCAAGTCTGAAGTACAGTAGCTGCTGGTATAAGCCTTTTTTTTCAGAAGAAACACCTTCTCACCAGTCACCTATTGGGGATAATAAAGATATAGCTCTTTTAATCATTTTTTTTGTTTCATCACTTTTGTAGATAGTTTATTTGACTGAGCTCAGTATATACAGTATGATTGCTGCTACAAACAGTAATGTATCTATATATATGTTTCATAAGTTCAAGTTCTTTTTCGAGACATGACTACTGTAAATAATCTTGTAGCAGGTGGTGGTATTTTATTGAAGAGAGATGACCCACAAATGAATTATGCTAACAAACATTTGTCATCAACAAGGTTGATCAATTGGGGGTTTCACAGACTAGTAAACTTAAGCCAAGGTTACCAGCAGTAGAACATGTACTGTACATCTGTGATGCGTGCTTTGCATCAAGAGGCAGATGCTGTCTTGTGGGATTCTGTCCACTGTTGAAGACCATGAACCAGCAGGTGCCTATTCATTGGTCTCTGAGGCTTAAGTGCCACAAGTCATCCCAGCTCATCCCACTGATTATAAATGGAGATTTAAATATATTGAGTAAGGACATTCATGGCATACCTGTCACATTGTAATCTTGTAATAGTGCTGTTATTATGCAAGCAGCATAATGACTTGTGCCGTCTTCCTGGAACCTTGCCATACTGTATCAACATGAGCCCAAATAAAGGGCAGCAGGCCCTGGGTTTTCTCAACCTAGCATTGTGCAGTCAAAGTGAAATTAAAAAGTAAAAAATAGTCCTGTAATGACTAAGTACAGATCGCTAGCCCTCACTGCACACAGTTTCCCCGAACTTTATCCGTTAAGTTGCCAAGACCTTGAAGGTGTTCTACAGTGAACAATGGGAAGGGGATTTATATCGGTAATAGTGAAGATTCATCAAACAGCACAGCAGTACTCATTCTATAGCAGTATAGAGTAAATAGCAGAATTTTCAGAACTACTGCCTACTATTATGTTGTTAAATCAATTTAAGAAACATTATAAACCCTGTAAGTGTAAGTTTGAATTTCAAGATATTGGCTTTCAGCATAAAGGTAGTTTCCTCAAGTGACTGACTGATGTCAAACTTTAAATGCCAACAGACAGCAGTCTTGAAAGGAAACCCCTTCATTAAAGGCATACATACTTGCATGTATACATGTTGGCTGAGTTCAAAATCCACTGCACTTGCCAGTATATGAACAACAAACATAAATTACATGTGTTACTTAACACTTAGGCAAAAAATAGCAATGTATATTGTTTTTAGCAAACCTACCACATGCTATCTAAAAGCTTTTGCAGTGTCACGGAAGACCTTCTATCAGACAGGCAATAAACCATACAGAAAAGCAAGGGAAAGCAGAGATAAATGTTTGTTTGTCCCTATTGTGAAGAAAAACGAACATTGCATGGATTTTTTTAAGCTTTCTCTCATTCTTTCTCTTCAGAGAATTATTTAGATTAACTGTGGAAAAAACTAGCCGAATATGAATTGCAATAATTTTAACCAAACAAATCTCATTTATCTTATTTCAGAAAGGTGCTAGGCCTGAAACAAAGACTATCCCACCGTCGCATACTGTACATTCTTACAGTCACTTCATCTAGTATTCCTAGACTTGCATATCTTCTAGTGCCATTTGTTCAATTAGATTATTTTTTTCAAGATTACAGGGGTATCATAGCGTTTCCTCATTAACATTAAAATTGTCTTTAACATGCATGGGACATCTGCATGACAGAGTGAGAACAGAACAAATAGACTTAGATGATCCTTTGTTTTGGATTTGTGCAAATTCTGCTGCACTGTGAAATATGTCTAATTGAGATCAGAAGCTGCATTAGATTCTCTCATTTGGTCTGATGAGATCTAAGATGTGCCATCAGAGGGCATGAAAAGTGCAAGTGGAACATTTGCAGAGATTAAGGAAACATCTGTTTTCTCAAGCAGGTTTCCTCTGCTGGCTTGCATGAGAAATGCTGGCTCACAATTTTTCTTACTATGTCTGCATTTGTGAGCCCGGTATGGATAACTACTGGAGCTTTCAAACATTTGTCTTTTGTTTCTTGAAATAAGACACTATGGAGATTTTTGTAAATTATATATATTGTACTTTCCTTCAATCTTGGTACATTATGTATAGCACTAGACTACTGTGACACATTAAAGTGACAGCACACATTTGGCTTGTGCCACTTCCCAGTGTAAGAAGTCATGATATACTGTAGATGGTGGACATCGATGGGCAGGTAAGTTTGAAATGAACACAAAATATCCACAATGTGTAGAACATAAAATCAAACATCGAAACAAAAATCTAGCTGTTCTTTAAGCTCATAGCTTAATTCTTCAGTCCCTTACTATCAGAACCGGGCAGCTAAGCTGCTTACTGGCCTCAAAACATAGTCTCTCTCTGAGACCCTTCACAAAACTTTCTCCCAGCAATTTTGCCCAACAGCCATTTCCAAAAACATACAGTTTTAAACTTTCTTGCTTGGTAAGTCCTTGTTGTTCTTTTCTCACTCCATCTGCACAAGGTTCCATAACTCTGTCCTCAGAATGCAGATAGTGACAGAAAGTAAAGAAAACTTCAGTTTCCTGCTTTTTAAATAGTTAATGTACCAATTGTCCAGGGCCAACCAGTCAGGTGACTGAGGGCAGCTGCTTATTCCCCACAACATTTTAGGGAAAAAGTCCAGACGAAAATCTCCATCCTGTCTGGATACTTTGCCCTTGCACAGGACAAAGATTTGAATTAGAAGGCAAGGGATTTCAGGCAAATCTTAACTCTTGCAACATCCTGTGTCTCCCACT